AATTGACAGCAGAAAAACAATTTTGTGTCTGCAAATGTCTGTTTAAACAACCCATATATACATCCTTTTTCACTTTTTATACCTTTTGGCTTACAGCACAGAAAGATTTTTGGTTTCATTTGAGGTGAACTTCTTCAGCATTTATTTGCTTTCCACAAAATTTCAAATAATCCTACTTCTTGGCAAGGATGCTGTTGTAAAGAGGACATTGAGGAAAATGTTAAGACTTGTGCCATAGTTTCTGGTCTGCTTATTCAGTCAAAAAAGTGTTGGAAAGGTATATGACTTAACTCATTAGGAAGGCTGAGATTTAAAACATTCATGTCCAGTTCTTATTTATCAAATATGCTGGTATATTCATTATTCAAATTTGTACATTTTAGTAACCTGAGATTTCATTGCGGGTATTCCATAATGAGAAACTAAGCTTACTTTAAATTCTTTCCTCCCAGGTCTTTCCTTTTTCTTTTCTTTTCTTTTTTTCCTCTCTCCCCACAGAAGTGTTTTGGAGGGAATTCTATTTCTTAGAGCAAGAGTGGAGTTTTCTGGGTAGGCCAGACCAGCAGTCATGGAGTTTGTTTAGTAGCGCTGTCCTGGTGCTGCTCCTCTATGTTAAAAAGCATAAAAGTCTAGTCCATTGAGGCGCCGAATCATTTGAAATACTGAATTTCTGGTTGAATCTGGGGTCATAAACATCTCATTAAGGGCTAAATCGTTATACTCAGTGATTAGAGACTGTTTTTTCTTTTAAGTGGATTTTTTTTTAGAGTGGATTTCTTCTTGAGATGAGCGTGAACTTTGTAGAAACACTTTCTACTGCTAATGCTTCTCATGTGTCTAATAAAAAGAAATCTAGAACTATAGGGCTGAAAGCTGTATTACTACTTCTGGATGTATTTCTGTTTGCTGTACTGAGGCAGACTGCGAGGGTGAGATCTGCCTCTCAAAATGCAGAGTTCAAGACTCCTTTTAAAGTGGTGGCGCTGCGTAGCACCTCCTGTGCTGTGATTTGTCTCATCCTGAAGCCGCTACTTTAAAATATACCACAGGAACTGGTCCCCAAATATGGCTGGTCTTTTTTTTTTTTTTAATTATTATTTTTTATTGAAGCCTGTGTTACTGGTGCAGGCAAAAATATTTAAAATTGGATGAGCTCTCACCTCTGCTGCCTCTTGCGGGCCTTTGCTAAGTGAGATGTTTTGGATGGGGCTTTATCAATGTCTGTTATGTTCCAGTCTGACAAGGAAGTACATAGTCTGCTGGCTGCCTGACCACTCTGTGTCATCACTCCTCTTAATATAAATGACTATTCATTTAATATAATATTTCAAGGTTTGTATTGTGAGTGGATTTTCAGAATTAATGCCCAGGATTCTGTTGTAGACTGTAGTTTGTAAGGAGACAATTTTAGAAAGGTTGGGCAGGCCGACTTGAAAGGGTAACATGGGGAATGAAATGGGGTGCAGGAAGTCTTTGCCTCACATTTCTTTGGAGCCCCTCCTGTGCTTCTGTGTTTTCTTTTACTGTTCTTTGTCTTGGTAACTTGGTAGCAATCTCCTCTTTCCTCCACCCCAACTCTCCTCTGACTTGAGAATCTTCTTCAGCTTTGGAATAGAGAAATAAGGACAAGAGGTTAGTCAAGATGGATTTACTAGTTGTCTATGAATGTTGTAACGTGTGCTACCTAAGGCTGGGCATGCCCTGAGTCAGGTGGGGGCATTGTACGTGCACACAGTGTGGTGGTGCAACCTGGGGAGCAATTTGGACCCCATCAAGTTCGGAGGTTGAAAGCTTCTGGAGCACCACTGGTTGCTCATACCTACCCATAGCTGAACCTCTACAGCAGGAGCCCCTCTTGAAGTGTTTTGCAAGACTTGATCATTTGGGAGCACTGATGGACAAAATGCAGCTGTAGATTACCACCGGGGGACTGAGAAGAGAGGCAATACTTGCTGCAACATAATATGATGTGATTGCAGCCATGGGGCTGTGCTGACCTCCTCTCTGAATTCAGGTGAAAATCCTCAGCTCTGGCTGGGGGAAAGTATTCTTTAGGTGGTAAGTGACAAGTTACTTCTTTAATGGTAAGGTTTTCCTAAAAACGGACGGAGAGGTATATTTTTATTGGACTTTTTTGGTACAATCCAGAAAATCTGAAAATAGAAGTTCTTGCTTTTTGAGTGGCACATTATCTTTCTGGAAAGGATGCTGTAAATACAATTCAGTCATGTTCTTTTCTGGCATCATAGGAAAATGGTTTGATTTTCTTCCTAACAGTCAAGCACAATGCTTTAAAAAAAAAAAAAAGTGCCTGTGAATTATTACTGCAATTTCAATAGCTGTAATAGATGCATTGCAGCCAAAAATCTGTTTGAACTGTTTTTGCTGTTTCTATAGAGAAGCGTGTGATGCTGAGTTATACTATATGTTATTAACAAATTTTAGAAAGTATTGGAAAGAGGAACATAGTCAGGAAAAGTTAATGAGAGAAACATAATTCTCTGAGAAGCTAGCGAATGAGAGTTTGCAGTGGGGATGTTGGCTGGGTATCAGAAGACACGTTTTTAGCAGTGGAAACTTCGGTTACAGCGAGGTATAGCAGGTCTTAGCCGTGTCTCTTAAGTCTCCCAAACATAATAACTGAAATCCTAGAATTTGACTCATTCAAGAACTAGAATGGTAATTGTAGGTGCATTCTACAGTGCCAAAAAGAATAATCTTGAATAGCAGACTTATGGCAGTAGATGACACTTTGTTACTTTTATTTTCTTTCGATACGAAGTATGCTGTATTTTGTCTCGGATATACTCGCTTTACTGCAGTGAAGGTGATGTTACCTGTTACAGGAATCTGCTGTAGAAATACGTGGGGCTGGTTTTAATTTGCATCTTTCTTTAATAGTGAATTTCAGTGAGGGCAAGAGCAGGTAAATACAGAAAGATTGAAGTTCAGTGGCACTCTTTGCAGTATGTCTGCACACATTTATTATTACTCTTGTTATATATTTTTGAAAGGCAATTTACATATGGCAATGTTTGTTCCCTGCTAGCACTTTATAGAGGATAGCCAAGAGTCTAAAGCGGTCTTGTTAGGCTATGTAAAAGCAAAGTGTGACAGTGATGTCCTAGCAACGTAGTTGATTCATGGGATATAGATACATGAAAGTTAAGGATCTTGAGCTAATATAACAGTATGTGACAGCCAAAAGGGAGGATTTGCACTGTCTTCTCCAGACTGTGTTGCCCCATCTTCTCTTCCCTAGCCACACTGTTCTGCCACTTGTGTATCTCTCCATGAGCCAGTTCACCTCAGTGATGTGTCAGAAATCTGAACCAGAAGGAATAGTAGATAGTTTTCAGCTGGTTTACTGAGTTACATCCGAAGGAAGAATCCAGACAGCAAAAGGGAAGTCAGGCGCTTCTTTGAAAATGGCTACAAACGGCTTTGGTTTAGAAACAAAGATTATTTGCCCCATTTTCCTCCATCTAATCTTCCAGAATATTAGAACCAGACTCAGATCAGATAGATGCACAAGAACATCCCTCTAGATCTTGGCCTCAACAATTCACTCACTCAATGTGTGTAGGAACAACTAGTCCTAGGATGGATGACTGTCCCTGTAGTTTGCAGTTTATTTTAATTTGATTTTGTCAGCTATGCTGGATATAAAGCTGCATATTTATTTCTTTAAAGAGCATTGCATTTTGAATAATATAAAGCTACTTCTTGTGTCGCTGTAAGATAATAGTATTAATGTTATATGTTGCTTTATAAATCAGAGATCTTGGGTACGCTACTTAGATGGAAAATTTAGCTTTTCAATGAAGACAGTTTCACCGCAGTGTCAGTGAAAGCTGGCTGCAAATGGTTGAGCTGAAAGTGGATGTTAAGTCAGAGATGTTTGTAGAGTATCTGAAAAAGAAATGAGGAAGACCAAGGTAACTGTTGATTTTTTGAGAGAGTCTCAAGAAAGTGATGGAAAAAACCAATAGCAGGGAATTTGCTGTTTACATTCTTCTATGGAGGAAGCAGAGGGAAATCCTAGAAATAATAACATGTAACAGTAGAAATTTTGGTTACTGGAAAATACCTAATTTATTCTGTATCTTGCCATCTACCCTTGTCCTGGAGCAGGAAATGGTTTGATGTCTTGCTTCTCCTTTGCTTGTCAGCAAGCAGTAAGAAATACTTGTGTCCATCCCTTATACTCTTGTTTTTATACTGCGTTTTATCTATATTACGATAGGACAGGGATTTGTTTCCCACACATCTAAAGGGTGAATACTTTACTCAAGGCAGGCTTAGAAGCCTCGGCTTTCCTTCTGTTTTTGCCTAGGCAGTGAAAGGAAAATGTTTGGCATGGCTCCAGTTGTGCTAGCTTAATTTCAAGGACCATCTTGTATCACCATGCTCTAAAAATTGCTTTCCATAAGTGATTTATCCATTTCTGGCATGGATAGCTGTATGGTTACAGTGCAGAGGCAATTAAGCATACTGAGTGAAATCCCAACTTAATTGCATACAATGGTAAAACACCCTTTGATATCAATGGGGCCAAGGTTTCTCATCATCCTTCTCAAAGGTCCCATGTCATAGAAAACAAGGAGAGCTACAATCAAAAGTTGCATCAAAGTCTATTTAAGTTCCTTTAAAATGAAAGACTTTTACTTCATTTGGTAATCAAAAAGGAATGTGGTTTATAGAATTATAAATTCAAGATTGTAATTTCATAAGCTATTCAACACATTAAGCTTTAATAATTGTATTACTGTTTTATTTATTAGATCACATGTTCAAAGATATTGCAAAATAGTGCCAAGGTAAAGATTGTGATTACAATTTACATAAATGATTGTTTTTGCAGTATATGTTTTTGGATAAGTGGAGAGTAGCAAAGTTACTGAAACAATGGAAAATCTCTTGTGAAACGTCTTCTGGTTTTGTTCCATCTATATTTAGGAAGCTCAGTGCTAACAGTTCTCCTTTTGTTCTTCTTGCAGCTAATTCCAGCCTTCTTGGAGGTGGAGGAGGTGAGTCTTTGCTTAATGCTGTATTTTTTCTTAAATAAATGTGAAATATATGCCGAGCAAATGTAGTGTTTAGTTGGTTATAAAACAATATATGGTAAGTTCAAAAGGTAGAAAAGTAAAATTATTAGATGGGAAAACTCACCAAAGTTAATAACGTTTCATATCATCAAGAGGCAGGGTGTGTGACTGCTGCTGAATCTGTCTTCCCCGCTGGATTAGACTAGGGCTGACCTAGTCTATATGGGGCTAACTGAAACATAAAGGAACCTAACTGCCTTATGTTATGTTGTGTTTAAGTATTTAGGATTTTTATTTAATTTACTTCAAGGCAACCTTGAATGCGTGTTAAATAAATAGTTTTTTTAAAAAAGTTAAATAATTAAAACATGGTAAAACCTCACTTTAGTGAATTAATGAGGTTTTATCTTTGCACTTTTTTTTTTAAACTTTGTGGCTTACCCTATTCTGCTTGTCAGAGTACTCAAGTAGATTTCAGTACAAATCTTTGGTGCATGTAAGAGATGCTACCAACATGTAAATTAGTAAGACAGAGAGGCACAAGTGCACATAGTGGGTATTGTTTCCAAATATATGGGTGCTGTAGATCGATGCTATTTTGCTTTTTGTAATATTGTAGTATCATCGCCGTAGGAGCTTACACAAGTGTTAACAATTCAGGAAAAGAAAAACCATGAAGAGCTTGATCTCAGTTTTCTGTGACTTCCCCTGCCTCCCAGAGGGAAGTAGAAGAGCTCAGTTGTGGAAATTTCACAGTGCAGGAGCGGCACAGGCAGCGACTAATCTTCCTTCCTGGCTGGAGTTAAAAGGACTTGATGATCAGAGCTTACATATGCAAGGGTAAAGGAAAGGACTCTGTAAAAAGACAGAAGATTGCTGTTGCTTGTGAGGCTTGAGGAGAAGTTGTCAAAGCTTTTGTTTTAACAGCCTTAACTGAACAGGCCTCCCTTATTTGTGGACCATGAAAAGGTGCTTGACAACTGCACCCGGGCATCTCAATAAAACGGTTCATGTTTCTCGGCTGTGTGTCTGGACATTAAAGTACAGGGAAGCCTTGCCTGGTAATCCTGTTGGATTAATCTGTTTCTTTTGATTCGAGTTAGTTGTCTGCAGTATACCAAATTTTTCTTTGTTTAAAGGAAAATCCTTTAAAAGGTAATCCTTTGCTAACCATTCATGTTCCTGCAGAGCTGTCCATGTACCTCCTCTCCAGCGCTTGCTCCCAGATGGTAACATCCAAAAAAAAAAATAATCAATGCAAGTATTCAAATTCCAGTCAGGTTCCCAGAGCGCTGCTGCTGCAAGGATTTGGCTATTGACTTTCTGTGGTATTTATTCAGCTGGACCATACTTCAAAAGTTGATGTCCATTCAGCGTGGCACTAGATGACATGGCTCTCCCTCTGTGGCAGCTGGATGAGCCCACGCTGTGAGTCAAGTCAGGATTTTTCCTGTGTTTTATGTGTTAAAAGTGGGGGACTCTCAATCAAGTTAATCTATTGGCAATTAAAACTGCCTCCTTCCCACCCCCCTGCTGCCACCCCACCACCTCCTCGTCTCCTGCCCCCTCAGGGCAGGCTGAGGTGATGGCGGCACATGAGGCTGGGTCAGTGCGCTGCTTCATCCTCTCTTCTGCATCTCCCCTCTCTCCTCCTGCCCTGGCATCATTTTGGGCTTTTACCACCATTTCTTAAATAAGTTTCCTCAGCGGTCTCAGGAAGCTCCTGTGGCAGGTTGAGTTTTGGCGCACAGTGGGTCCCTGAGGGGAACTGGCTGCGGGCGGCACAGCCCCAATGCCTGAGGGGAACTGGCTGCGGGCGGCACAGGGCAGCCCCAATGCCCTCCCACAGAGGAGGTCTCCCTGCAGACCCCTGTGGCCAAAAGCCTGCGAAACACAATCCCGGATCCTTTAATCTCCGGTGGAAGGATAACAACATACCCCCTTGCTTGCGATGCAGGTAAAATACCAAGTTTGACTATTTTATGGTTTAGAGTTTGGCTGCTGGTGGTTGAGGGGCTGTGTTTGTGCTCTGGAGGTGCCGTGAGCCGCCCTTGGGTGGAGTGGCCGACGCGTCCTCAGAGTGCACTCACTTAGGTTTTCCAAGTCTTTTGAGGAAAAATCCTGAGAATTTTGCTCCCAAAGTAATCCCGACTTTGGGCAGCCGCCATGAGGTGTCTGTGGCTCCGGCCTTGGGTGCGTGCATTGGCTGTGCCCTTCAGAGAAGGGAAGGGTGCACAGGGTCTCCAGGCTGGAGCTCGCTCAGGGGAGCACAAGATGGAGGCACCCCTGGCTGGCCCACCCGCCTGCCGCAGGCAGATGAAGCCCGGAGCCCCTACCTCTGGGAAAAATGACTTGTTACTGGCAACGTGCATTTCTCTGTAGAAGGGATCATTTTGTTTCCGGTTGAATGGGTTTGGATTTTAAAGTCTGGATATATTTTTTTCCTTTTTCCAGGAGGAAGTAGCAGCAGCACTCCACGTGAAATACTGCTAGTGAATTATTAAAACTTTATTATATACGTAAACACCAAAGCCTTCTTTTGATTGCAGATGCTGAATATTTATGATAATGCATAATACCAGTGTAGTTTTTCCAATAATGGGATTCAGATCTCTTTAGTAATGCTCGTTAATTTAATCTCTCTGTCACTGCTGGGGGTATGAATACATATCTTAGTTTTACAGAAAATTAAAACCAGAAATTTCTACTTGCCCAAGCTCATGCAACGGGTTTTTGTGATTTTGAGCTGCTTTTGAGCTGTTCTGTGTTTGAAATCTTTCTAGAATTGAACACAAAATAGTTGGAAATGGTTATTTGAACACCCTGATCTAACGCTTGTGAATTACTCAATACGGACGTTAAAACCGTCTTCTGGAGGAGACCTGTTGAGGAACCCAATGGGCAATGTTGTTGGCAAACATAACGCACCTGGCTGTAAGTTCAGGTGCTGGTGGGTTTGGGTGGCTGCTTATCATCCCTGCGTCAGCTCAGAGCCACATCAGGGCATCTGTGTACTTTGATGTCCCAGAGCCAGAGTAATGATTTGTTCTCGCATTCCCCATTTGAATGCTGTCTATTCATTTTCATGACCATTTGGAATGAAGAGATAAAAGTACAAAAGATACCAGAAACAATTTTTCACAGAACTGTTTAATCATAAAATTGAGAAACACACAATAGAGCCTTAGAAGAATCTTTAGTTAAATATAGATGTCGAAGGTTTATTTCTGCTTTTCAAATAACTCTGAAGTTTCCAGGATTTCATTATGAGTTTGGTGAGTGAGCCTTTTTTCTTCTTCATTCTTTACTGTTTTTAATAATTGATTTTTAATTAGGAGGCATATTTCGCTTTCAGGTCTAGATTTATCACACATTCAGCATCTCACTGCTCCTGTTAATTTGCAGAGAGCGTTATGACTTATTTGTGCGTCATGTATTATTTGTCCCATTATGTTCAACAGTGCAAAGGTGAAAATTATTAAGAAAATTACCTGCATTTGGAGGGAGTGAGGAAAAAACATTTGCTATTTTGAGAAAAAGTGACCCCTTTTGAAAATGTATCATGAAGTTTTGGCTGTTGAGAAATCAAAATGCCCTATTTTGCATGGCAATTTTTTTCTTTACATTCTTTTACAGCTGTGTCAAGGAATGAAAGTATGTGATTTCATGCACTTTGTTAAAGCAAAGCGAGAAAGAGCTGAGATTTTTCCTCCCTCTTACAGTTTTGGATAGTCTGTGGGGTTTTGGGGGTTTTGTGCCCCACTGTCCCCACCTCGTTTTCATTTATTTTCCTTGGGGTTCATTTTTCCTTTAGCAATTTTCTGACTGTAGCAAAGTTCTTATTGCATGCTGATTTCTGGATTGGCTTGCTTTCTTTGACCTTAAATTGAGGGTCTATTTAAAATAGCAAGCTAGGGGTATTTTTTTTTTTCCCCCTCATAAGATTTTGTTGCCTATACTAGAGTTGGGGAAGGAGATGTCATTGTTTATTGTGTCCTGTTATGAATGTAATTTTTGTCAGCTCTGTACTTTAAAATGGTAATTTTGTCTTTAAAAACTCTGAGAGGAGACAGGTTATATTCGCAGTCTTTTGTAAGTATTGTTTGGACCCAGTTTAAGTTGGTTGCTCCAAAAGATCTGTCTGCTTTTCTGTTTCTCTCCGTCTCTCTGTCTCTCTCTTTTTTGGCCAGTGTAACTATGTCTTTTCTAGGGCTTTTGCTGGCATGGAAAAAATTAATTCCTATATAGCCATAAGTATGTTAGCATATCTTAAATGTAGACCAGACCTACCTCTCCAGTCTGCCAAGATATGGTTTGTAGGCATGTCATTTTAAGCAACTGTTACAGCATGGGGAACTTGTATTGTGTTCATGATCACAGTACGGAACTGGGTTTCTCTGTACGTTATTGGGTAGGCTCCATTTTGAAAGTGGGATTTGCCTGCCTTCTTTGTTCGCCTTTACCTCTGTGTTAGATTATAATAGCGGCAAAAAAAAGTGTTTTCTCCTGCTGGAAAGAAATTACCACAGATTGACTTCTATCCTGGAAAATGTGTTTATTAGGAGGGAAATGAGCTATTCAATGGCTGGGGTCTTTTGCTGAGCCTGAGAGCAAAATCACATGATGCAGGAGACGGACTTTGTGCGAGGGTCAGTATGCCACTTCAACATGCAAGCAGCTACGCTCACCTACATACAAGCATCTAGTGCCACATCAGCCCAATGAGCTCTCCGAGATACAGGCGTGGATCTGCAGACAGGACGCAGGGTTGGCTGGGCATCTGCACCTTTCCAGAATGACAACTGAGGGTCAGATATGTCACTTTGTCTCGGGCAGCTGAAACACTGCTGGGTACCAGTGTTTGAGCATCTGGGTCCAAATTGATGGTGGAGTTGTTTGTCTTCAGACATGGGTATGGCGGGTGTGTAGCAAAACCATCATGGCTGCTGCTAATGCTATAGAAAGAAGAAGAGGATAACTGC